GAGAGAGAGAGAGAGAGAGAGAGAGAGAGAGAACGGCGGTGCTGCGAACATAAACAACAACAGCATAGATACTTTGTTCGGGTAACGCCCCCCTCCATCCAGACCAGACCGGACCATACCAAGCCGTCACCAACGTTTCACTGCCGTCCGTCCGTCGAGTCGGCTAACTCAAAGACCGTCTCGCGGCCAAGCTGGGATAAATTTCGAATCCCGGCGAGCGAAAACTTCGGCTGTAGAGCGTTATTTCGTGCTATCTGCAAATGAAAGCTGAATCGATCGCATAAAAACGAAGATTCGGTAAACCCTTACGTAAAGACGTTTAAGGGCTTTTCGTTAGGTGGGTAGACCCCGCGAGGAACGGGAGTAGATGGGAAGAAAAAACGTAAAATAAAAAAAATCATGACGGTTTCGACTCTAGTTTCGACACATGGACATACACGATCAATCGGCTGCTGCCCTCACCGTATAACCTCCTCCAGACCGGAGGCGAAGCGAACGACGGGTAGCCGCGCCCCGCTGAACGTCGACTTCGCGAACCGGACGACGACTCCCCTCGAACCGTTGGCCAGACCGCGGCCGGTGGCCAGGTTCTTCACAAGCATCACCTGTTGACCGCTTTCTTTCGTGTGTTATTACTAGTACTTGAAGTAGTATCGACCGCGCTACCAGGCTGTGGCCAAGGCAAAGGCTTCAGTCTGTAATTAAGCGGGGGGATCAAAAAAACGATAGCGCGCTGTCTAGTCCAAGAGTCCAACCGAAAAAGGGCGAACGGAAGTGTGCTTGTGTGTGAAAACAATTGTCAAGGGTGTACGCGGCGTAGGTTTATTGCCGTAGTGCATGTAGCAAAACCGCCATGTTATGTTGTTTGCTTTCACATCGCATGGGTCGGACAAAGCACGGGGGAGCACTTGCCAGCAAGCTACAAGCGATTAAAAGGATCGACTCCTGCCCGGGGTGTGTGCGTTGAGCTGCGGGGGATGCGAAGCACACAAAAACACGATCAAAACTATTCCAAACGATCACACAGAGGTTTGGTTGCAACTCGAGGCCCTTTCGGTACCCGACGGAAAAGTGGCCATAGGAAGAATACTTCTCGTGAAGGGTGGATGGGAAACCTTGGCTGTGTTTTATCCCGACGTAGTTGACCATACTGTTTAGTCCATAAACATGTCTTCTGCATCGTGCCCTTCGGACGCCTCCACAATTTGATTTTGTGGCCATACGTCATGGCCGTGGCCAGAGGCGTGCACGATTACCCCAGAAGTAATCAATCACAGCCCCAGACCCAGCACCAATCGATACATCACACCATCACTAACCTGTGCGCCGACCTTGAGCCTCAGCGTAGCCGGGGCGGAGCAAGAGTCATCCAGCTGCCTGAGGAAATCCGGCCTGTTTCCTCTGTTCTCAGCCTTCGATACGACCTCCGCCCCGTCCAGGCGGCCTAACCGCTGCGATTGAACCGTACCCGCACAGTAATCGAGACACCACCGAGGCTATTTGTTATCAGTAGTGGCGTCGCGCTACACGAGGGAAATCGAGCATTGACGTACACAAACACCGTTCGAGCTTATGTATGGCAGGGCCCACAAAATGGCTCGGTACCGCCTCCCCCTACTCCTGGTTCGTCTTGTCCTACAGACATCGCTGAGAGGGTTGCTCACAAATGAGTGTGCTGAAAGAAGCACCGCAGCATCTTCGCCAGACGCGCGCGAGAGAGATCAACAAAACAAAACATGTTGCACGGTCGCGGTTTCACAAAATAAACTTTCAGACCAGGGAGGAATGCTCCTTCCTTGCCGTACTTGCCGCAGACTGGGAAGCGAGACTGTTGTGCGCTCTACGATAGCGGTAGCTCGGACGAGCTTACATAGGCTCGGCAGGCAC